CGCCACCAACCACCGACACCACGACGACGACGACAGCGACGGCGGGGACCCGTTCGCGTTCCTCTCGGAGGACCGGCCGCCGCGGGACCGGGGGCCGTCCCCGGCCGACCCGTTCCGCAACGGCACGCCGGCGTGGGGCGGCGGCGCGTACGCGTGGGCGAGGACGCTGCTGCTCCTACCGGTCGCGGCGGTGCGGCTGGCGCTGTTCGGGCTCGCCATCGCGATCGGGTACGCGGCCACGTGGGTGGCTCTCCGCGGGTGGGTGGACACGCGCGGGAGGCCGCGGGAGGGTGGCGGGCCTATGCCGGCGTGGCGCCGCCGGCTCATGTGGATCACGCGGATCTCCGCCCGCTGCATCCTCTTCTCATTTGGGTGAGTTGCTCATTTGCTGGATCACTAAACGCGGTTACATGCTTGGATTGGGTCTGGATCGTAAACTCGGTCTCGTTTTGATTTGATCTAATCTGGCACCTAATAATCGCTTTAATTTCCGGCAACCTGTCCTTTTTAAAAAAAAAAATAATAGATGATTAGATTTGTGTGGCGAGATGGGGCTTTCTAATCCTGTGTGTGTCCATGACGCGATTGTGCGATGCGGGTTGGTTTGCTGGATTTGGAGGGCTGCGGATTCGCAACACGTGCGGTTTTGTTGGGAGCCCCTCAATGATGTGGTTGGTGGGACGATGCTGTGGCGGAAGCTGAATGTCCGTGCCGCAGATGTGTTTATGGCGTGTTGAAGCTGACCTGCATGAATTGCAGCTTTGAAGAGACAAATAGGAAACGAACGGGCTAGAAACCGCTGTTGGACCATTCGTACATGCGTTCAGCTAGCTTACAACGTCTGGAACTGAAGAGCGAAAACGTGTGCACAGTTTAAACTGAGATGCCATGTGCATGTGCATGCTGAAATGAACTGTGGGGTACTGGGGTGTGTACCATGTCACAAATGGGGATTTCTCCTGTGGTCCTTCCATAGTTCCATCCATTGCATTGATTTCAATAGCCCCGAATGGTGAGCAATTTCTCTATCCTGAAAATCAATAGCCCCAAATGGTGAGCAGTTTCTCTACACTGAAAATATAGCAAAGGAAAAAACAGACGTGCCTATGGCGTTGTTTGTGTGTTAGGCTTTCAGAATCGCACAGCAATAACAAGCATTTGATTCAAAACTTTAGAGTATAGACAATGAGTGTCATCTTCTTGCTACATGTATTTACTTTCAAAACTTAGTTTTCTTCTGGCCATGGAATTTCTTTGTGCGCCGCTTCTTTTGCGCTTGTTTACGCTGAGTTGATCTGAGTATTTGGATGCTTACGCTTTCTCAGTCTCTCTCTTCTTGTGATGCTAGTGTACACTGTCTGATTTTAGTCGGGCACTCACTTTCTTCTTATCAGGTACCACTGGATCAGAAAGAGAGGAAGGCCCGCTCCTAGGGAACTCGCACCTATTGTTGTTTCCAATCATATCTCGTATATAGAACCCATATTCTTCTTCTATGAATTGTTCCCAACCATTGTTTCGTCCGAGTCTCATGATGCCCTACCATTTGTTGGAACAATTATTCGAGCGATGCAGGTGTGTATGTTTCCATTTTCCTATAATAGCGTCTAAATTTCCAAGTTTCTTCTCAGACAGCCTTTTCCAGGTTATATATGTTGATAGATTCTCACCAGCTTCTCGGAAGGCTGCTGTAAATGAAATAAAGGTAAGAACGGCTCCTCTCATACCCATAGCTTCTCATCTTTTTATAATTAGATGTTGCGATGACTTGGTTGGCTTTAAAAGCATTGTATTGTATTTTGTCACATGTTAGCACCCCATTGCTTTATGTAACCTGTAAGTTATTGAATTTGGTTGCTCTACATTGACTTAATATATGGAAAAAGTAACAAGCAGAAAAGGACAACTACAAGCTACTCCTTGCAGTTGCCTGCTTTACAGATCTTTTAATTTTATTTGCAGCAGACCGTTGATTCTAAAATCAACACCAACCAAATTATCCTAGAATAACATGTTTTGCCTTTTAGTTTTTTCTTCATATGGTACATACTCTCTAGGATGTCCTTTCAGAGAAAGGCAGCTTGCAATAGCTTCTCGTGGGTTCTATTATTCCCTGAAGGCACCACAACAAATGGGAGATTCCTGATTTCGTTCCAACATGGCGCATTCATACCTGGCTACCCTGTTCAACCTGTTGTTGTACGTTATCCACATGTTCACTTTGATCAATCATGGTGAGCTTTCTCTATGGATATTCTTTTCGATGTACATTCATCTTTGTACCTCAGCATTTTTTAAATTTTATCTATACAATGTTTTGTGTTTCAGGGGGAATATATCGTTATTAAAGCTCATGTTCAAGATGTTCACCCAGTTTCATAATTTCATGGAGGTATGCATGGCCTGCTGAATTTGGCCTAACAAATGTCTGAACTATTATGTCTTTTTTGCACTCGTGTCTTGCAAAATTAGCTCATCTCATTGATCATCTAATAATATACAGGTAGAGTACCTTCCTGTTGTCTACCCTCCTGAGATCAAGCAAGAGAATGCCCTTCATTTTGCGGAGGATGTAAGTATGCTCAACTCAAATAAATTTCTCATCTAACATCCTGTGCTTTTCACTAGGGGTGTGATAATATGTTCTCCCTACAACTTTTTATTCTTGCAGACCAGCTATGCTATGGCTCGCGCCCTCAATGTCATGCCGACTTCCTATTCATATGGTGATTCTATGATTATGGCACGAGCAGTAGAAGCTGGAAAGGTAAAAAGGGTAGCTATGCATAACTATGAATTCCCGAACAATTGCTCTGACCCTTTTTTGCTAGAACATCTGCCATCCCTCCAAAAGGAAATATGCCTCTAATAAGCTTTCTATTTGCAGGTGAACTGCTCAAATTACATGGTAGAAATGGCTTGGGTTAAAGATGTAAGTTTTTCCTGAACTACATTGTTTACATGTGTTTGCAGTATGCAGATGCTGCTGTTGTCAAAATCCATCAGGCAATAAAAAGTAGATTATGCTGAATTATTCCTACAAGAATCGCTAGTTATGCATTAGTGTACTTGTATGTAGTGTGCCAATTCCTTTATCACAACCAACCGTTGAATGAAGCATTGTATTGTTATGCCTTTCAGATTTATGGTGTAAGTACAGCAGAAGCAATGGAACTATTGGAACATTTCCTGGCTATGAATCCAGATAACGAGTAAGACTCCTCATTCTTAATGGAGAACTTCCATCAAGCTTTACTTAGTCTATGTTATTCTATTGTTTCATGGTTACTTGATAAATAACGCCATTTAAACATTGCAGTGGACGTGTGAAAGCACAAGATTTTTGGGCCCATTTTGGTCTGGATTGCAGTCCTCTGTGCAAGAAGGTACTAATGCAGTATCTACAAATGCTATTAGCTTAACTGGATTCCCCTCTTTGCTGAACTTCTAACTCTTTTTCCAGATATTTCACTACTTTGATCTAGGCATTAAGGAATCGATTACGTTCCGTCAGGTATGGACCTTAATTCAATTGAATTTTACATCTGCCTTGGCGCTTCGCAGTTTTTACATACGACACCAAGGATACTGTAATGCATTGGTACTTTATATTTCATTAGTGCTAAGGTTTCTAGGTGTACCATGTCTGCAGTTCTTGGTTGGTTGCGCGCACCTGAGGAAGCAGCCATTGTTCCAGGGTGCCTGCAAGACCGCCTTTGAGAAGTGCCGGGATCCTGAAACATCTGAGATCTCCAGGGCACAGCTAACTGATGTCCTGCGGTTAAGCATGCTGCTGCCGTCTGATGATAAGGTAAAATCCCCATTGCCCCTCTGCTACAACACGTAACGCTGTTTCACCACCATGATGTCATACTCATCTGACCATGTAACCTTTGACAGATGCTGGAGCTGTTCAAGACGTTCGACATAGATGGCGACGAAAAGATCAGCAAGGACGACTTCATGACATGTCTTGGGAAGTTCCCGTTCCTGATTGCGTTCTTTGCAGCCCCGATCAATGGGGAAGTGTACATCGAGATAGTCTGAACGCCTGAGGCAAGGCGATGCTGTGTAAGAATAAAGGCTGGAGCTGCCAGTGCCAGGCGCAAGCAGGGGATCCCTCCGTTTATGCAATGGGATACCCACCGGGGCTCCTCCACTTTGAAACAAAACCACCCTTAGTGTTGGGTTGCATCAAGTGGCTGACCAGTATAGTGCGTCGATTTTGATTAGTTGCTTCGTTCAAATTATTATACTGTCATTACGGAAATCTGTTGTGAGATACGCGCTGGACTAGTAGGTTGTCGATGGAACTGAGAATGCACATAGAAAGCATCTGTAATCTGAACTGTAAGAAAACATTTTTGGACAAACAAGACTCTGTAACCTTAAGCTGTCTTCATTCTTGTTAGCTGTAGCACTTCGGCGAGTTGAACGTCGTTTCGCAACTTTTTGATCCCTCCATTTCAAATCAAAGTTATTTTGTCTGTTTGACTTTTCCAAATACAAACTGTGTATTTAAGACGTAACATATGTCTGGATACATAACTTTTTAGAAAAGCCAAAACGACTTGAATTTAATTTTGTTATGTTCCTATGAAAGCCAAAACGACTTAAACAGTTTAATCTCGTTATGTTCCAAGACAAGCCTCTCACTAGCAGCTCACAGCGGATGAAAATGGATGTACATACTTGCATTGCGATTAATGAACGAACAGAATCAATCGATTGCACAGGGAGACGAATAAAATCACATTGCACGGGCTATTGATGAAATCACATTGCATGGGGCCATCACTTTGACAGCATCTGTTTCTCCGCTTTATTCGCTGAGGTTATTTACATGCATCAGAGAACAAAGTAAAACCAAAGAAGCTCAAATGGGGGATGGCTCAAGGTGACTAAACGCAGACACTGCCTCCGCAAAAGAAACCATTTCTTTACAGTATAATGCGTCTCTTATCTCTCTTTTTTCTACTACTTTTCTGTTGAAGGTATTTTTACATCACAATGCACCTCTCTTTCTTCGATTCACTTCTCGACGGAGGTGGGACGTTGGACCTCTGAAAGGATGAGCACAATGTTCAGACCCATCAGTCATCAGCAACAGAAGTAGTAAGCAGTCATCAGGAAACATGACGTGAACAGTACAAGAATAGGACCAAGAGAGCCCATGCGATGCTCACAACCAGGTTCAAAACATGATCAAGAACTGAGCACAAGAGAGCCCATGCGATGCTCACAACCAGGTTCAAAACATGATCAAGAACTGAACACATGTTTGGTAAACTGGCACCTTCAATTTAAAGAGATGCTTCGAACAAAACACATCTTTTTGTCTATTATAGCAAACTAAAGTGACCATGCATTCAACCTCTTTGTATGCTCTCTCACACAAAACCATCACTTCTACCTGTTTAGGGGCATGAAGTAACCATTCATTGTTGGTATTAAGTGTACTGAGGGAAAACAGGTGACTTTCGCAAGTGAATCTTTAAAGACTAACGTACTGGTTTGAATACAGTAGCTATTTAGGATTCAAAACCAGGCAAACATGGTTATTTCAAGACAATAGATTGCAGTCATATTTGAATCCAAACTATAAGGATCATCCCAAACAGCAAGTTGATAAATGTTATGTGGTAATGTGAAATGAGGTTTTGATGGCGGTACAAGTAATACAAAGAAAACGTACCCTTTGACCAACAACAAGTCCTGGTCGGCCAGATTGAGTCGGTTGGTGCTGCGTCTGAGGTGGTTGTTGCTGTTGTTGCTGCTGCTGGGGTGGTGGAGCTTGAAACCTTTGTGGTTGCCGCTCAAACTCTTGCTGTTGAAGTGCTATAGCTAGCTCCAGATCAGAGCTGCAAGCATAGGAGGACCAATGTGGTAGCGTTAGAATTTAGGTAACACATGCAAAGTGACTCAGGAGTGCACATCTATGATGATTCAGCACGTTGAGCACATTCAAAATCACAGTAAGCCATATATTGGTCATTCAAGTACATGCTAAGCCGACAGTCCAATACACAATGACAACAAAACCATCAAACAGTCGAAGTTCAAGAAAGTTATGGCGCTTGGTTAACAGCAACAATCAACAGATCAGAAAAGAAACTATAGCTTCAACTAGCATATCATTTATAGCCCTACTGACGGACATTTTCTGCACAGTACCATTCATACAAGATTCACATGGTTGAAGAAATCCAAACTAGAAATGTTGTACACACACACAACAATAAAGCACATTGAGAAAAACAGGTAGGAAGAACATACTTTCCAGAAGTGTTGTCAAATTGAGCAAGATAATCCTGTGAACAAAGATAAATTTGAATTAGTTAACATTAATGTACCTAATAAAAACTACAGCAGTTTATTGATGTTATACATACAGCAGTACTCGTCATAGCTTGCTGTTCATTCCATGAATCATTTCTTGGAGTTTCAGCCTTAAATGGTGTGAAGTTGCTGGTAAGAAAAACCCCATCTCCATTCACCTAATGATTGTCAGTTGAGAATGAAAAAGATCAGTAAAGATTTTGATCTCAAGCGAGAATTAAAATAATCACAGAAGGAGTTAACATACCTCATCCAACCTTTGCCATACCAAATCAGTTTGGCTTATAAAACCTTGATCAGTTGCTAGGAGATATAGACTTCCGTTGTACTGCAGAATAATTATAGATAAGAAATAAAGACAGCTCCAGTTCAAGTACTCAAATACTGACAAAACTAGTATACCTTGAACATAGTGTTGAAGTGGTTATTACGGAAGAAGACACAAAGCTCACTTTCGTTAAGTCCCTCTTGTAAACAGAAGAGACTGCGACAATGAAATTTGACAATGTGATAAATGAGAATACAATTGAGAACATGTATTTAAACCATAGATTATTAGAAATATACCCATAGACAGTCAGCTGGTTAGCAGTGGTCTGCAGAAAATTATCAATCAGCTCCCCTGAAAATAAATCAATTTAAGTGTGAAGCTAAATATAGTAATTCTTGCATTATACAAAGAGATTCACGCATGTACAAAAGTCAATAACAAAAGAAAAAAAAATCTCACATTGATGTTCTGTGGCCTTGTCATCCACGGAAGGGCTGCTTTCCCCAGTCTTGTCAGCCTGCTCAGCAAGAACCACCTCCCCCTCGTACACTGGCTCTTGATTTTCATACACCATATTTGTGGTGCCAAGTACGTGCTCTTCACCTTGGTATATTGGTTCACATTCCTGAATGCTTGAAGGTCGAGGCTCAGATTTATCTAAAGAATCACTTTTCACATCCAGTTCTGTTGTAGCATGACCTGGAACAGCTCCACAAGTTGCAACTGACGAGTCACAAGCAGCCTCAGTATCATTAGACTGGCCATGAATTTGTACATCAAACTGTTCTCTGCAGGTTTCTTTATCACCTTCAACAAGAGTAGGAACAGCAGGTTGGTGATCACTGGTAGCAAAGGATTCATGAGACGGACAAGAGGGAGTAGATTCTGAAGATTGAACGGGTATATCAAGGTCCCCTGGTAACATATTCTTTATTTCACTGTCCTCTGGTTCTTTAGATGTCAAAGTTTCTTGGGATTCTTCAGGCACAACTTCACTGCCATTAACAGCACCATTTGTGAGCATGGAGCCATCATCACTCACAGCGTGATCGCCATGTTCCTCTTTTGCTGCCCCCACCACCTCAGGTGCTTCTGACTGAAAACTCTCACTTTGTGGTGTCTCCATGTTGGACGATGAATGACTATGTGAAGTGTCAAAAGAAACTTCTCCATCAACTGCATCCCCACTTTCAGCTTTGGATAGATTGAGGACCCTCATCAGTTCCTCTTCTTCCTCAAGGTCACCTCGCCTTTTTTATGTGTTTCAGTTGAGTTTGAGAGAGTAAGTTCATCAAATGATCTCCCACAAGAAACACTGGGAGACGGAATCTTTAAAGCTGCAGTTGTCGCGGCAGCAAAATCAACAGTTTCTTCCTCCACATGTTTATTTTCTTCTGTTGGTTTACCTGACTTGAATTCAGCAAGTCCGGAGGCAAGAGCATTGTAGGACTTCGATCCAATAGCAGTAGCAGTTTCAGTATCCTAAATAAAGACAATATGAATCAGCAATGGTAAGCAGGTGCCTTGCAAGTTGCAAAATGAACTGTTTTTTATCTATTATATTGGGAAAATTACAGGGTACTACCAAATTAGTAAGGACCATCCATTCTATTTAATCAAATGGCTAAGAATAAAGGAGATGACCTATTACCGGCAATAGGTCATCCATAACTATTAAATGCATCTTAGTGATTTTCTATTTGAAAGCTTAGCGTAATAGAAAGTAATGTATCTGTAACATGTACATATTCATTTTTTTCTAAAGCGAGGAACACCGCCATTTCGATCAAAAATACAAGTTTACCAACCAGAATCAGATAACGAGAGGAGCGTGACATGGGCAGGCCCATACATAGAGTAACCTACAAACAGATCCAGCGTGTATGTTCTTTTGTTCGTATCACCATTTGTCCGTGTCTACTGTTTGTAGTGAATAATTGCAGAGCTAACACAGAGAATGGATCCAACGTGTCATACAGGTGGGTTGCGAGAATGCAAGATAAATGTTGCAGGTGAGCGTTGAGGAACAAAACTTTTTTTTTGGGTCATATGTAATATAAAATGTGGCAGAAGTGACAAGGGACAAGTCTAACTGGCAGTAGTAGACAAAATTAAATTCAACCCGTGTCGTGTTCGCAGATATTTTGTCAAGATAATGCGGTGGACCTTGCACATTATTTTTTTTCAAACCAAGGATAATCCCATTTCCAACCAAAAAACAGAAAGCTTGCCTGTTAAATTGATGGACACGCTTTGAATTTTGACGGTTTCCTAACTGATGGACACAACCAACCAGTTGCAAATTTTGGTGGTTTCCTAATACCCATATCAGGGGACAACTTCTCTATGTAGATAAAGTTGGTCAGTAATTAACTTTCCTTTTAAGTCTTTCCTAGTGCAACCACGTGAGGGCACCAGCTGCAACCGATTAATTGGAAACTACATTTTTAATTGCACTAATCCTTTCAGAAAATGGATAATCTAGGTCTGCGCACGTGAGTATCTTAAAAGAGATCATTATGTAGACTATACAATTTTAGGCAGACATAAATATCGAACCAGAAGTGAATCAACAACACAGAGGCGGGTAGTCAGAGACTAGGGTATGAATCCTAGACTAACGATCGCTTTGCATAAGATAGTAAACATACCAAGTTCTGGAAAAGCGTGTGTGCCTGCGCGTGCACGTGCACACACACAAAGACCTGCCAAGCCAATGGCATAACCCAGTTATGGAAACAAAGGGGCTTTCTACTAGGACTAAAAGAATCAGTTGTATCAATTAAACTACGAAAAACTAGCTCATAACTATGTCGGATGGTTTAGGCGATGGATTAGAATGATAAAGTGAGTGCAAAATTTAGGAACAAAATGGCATGCACAACTCTAACTGACATCAGCAACATTACAAGATAACACAGGCCTATAGCATTTTTGCTACGTGGAAAGATAGCACACCTGAGGGTCCACTATCCATCCATGGTATAGTGGGATATCCAGAAGATCAAATATAGCACGTTCTCGGGTGAACTCAAAGTCATCAATCCTGCAACATACAGACCCCAGTAAGCATCAAAATAAACATATCATCACAGGCACGCGTAACAAAAAACTGGTCAACAAGCCAAAAACCGATACGCACTTCCTGAACATCACGTTCACGTCAATGCCTGTCGCGAGGCGCGGGAGAAGATCAATGGCATCAGCTACGTTCTGCTCCCGGTTGCGAACATACTCCTCGTCCTTGTCCTATGAATTGCAAATCGAAACCATTAACACACCGAGAACTGCCAGAACCAGCAACCCTAACTACTAGATTCCAGCCCGCAAGTTGCTGCTGCCGCATCCCAACACAACACCATTCCCGCATTGATCGACCCGAATACGAACAACCCGACCGATCTCGCGAGAGTTAGAGCCGAACCTGTACGGCGATGTTGGGGTCGATGAGGCGCTCGGCCACGAGCGAGAGCAACTTCTGCTGCGACACCTCGCCCTCGTCAGGGTTCAGGCTGATCACATTCTTCAGCAGAAGCACGTTACCTGCACAAACGCGCACCGGTGGCATGAACATCGCGGGCAGCCACTAGGCACGCGGCGAACTCGCGAGGGTTCGGAGTCGAACGGGAGGGTGGGGAGGGAGCTCACAGATGGCGAGGAGGGGGCAGGGCCCATTATCGTTCTGGTAGACGATGGGCGTGCGTCGCCCGAGGAAGTCGACGGCCCTCGTCCGGTGCATCACCTCGGGCGGCTCGGCGGGCTGGGGCAGGGGCAGGGGCTGGGGATCCGCCTCCGCCGCGCCGGGCGGGGCCACCTGCGAGGGAGGTGGGGCGAGGGGTCGGACGACATGGGGCGGATCTCCCACGCGTTCGCTCGACGCGGAAGGGAGGAAGTCGCCAGAACCCTAACCCTAGGGCGACGCCGCGGGGGTCGCCGCCGCAGGAGGAGGCGCGCGCGCGCGTGCGGTGTCGCCTAGTGGATTGGAGAAGGCGAGGACGGCGGAGAGGGGGAGGGAAGGGAATAGAATAGGCAGTGGGTGGGGGTCGGCTGGGAGAAGGTGGGCGGAGGGAGGGTGTATTTAGCAAAAGAGTAACCGCCTGTGATTTGCAGATTAATCCTTCGTTAGTGAGTTTTATTTGGCTTTGGTGCCTTAGCTTTGAGATTATTCGGGCTTGGGAGGTTTAGCTGAGCCCTATAGCTGAGGCTTGGTTTCTGGGATTTTTGAGGTTAGGGGGCTGCAGTTTCGATTATTAGCCGTGATGTGTAATATTGGAGGAGGAGGTGGTACCCTTGTAGAGAGCATTGCTACTAACACAAAGTCTACAGCAACGCGGCTGCAGCGACTTGCAACTAAACAAACTTAACTAATGCAAGTAGTTTTTCTTTTTTTTAGAGTAAAAGTACTTTGTATCTTTATCGAATATGTCCATTCGTTTTTAAGGCAAAATGGTACGGACCGATTATTCATATTTTTCTACTACTATAAAAACAACTTCTACACAGGACTCCATGGCTAGTGAGTAGTGGCTCAGTGAAAGACGGTGAGACGCATAGATCAACCTAGTAGTGATATGCAAGCGTGAGAGTGATAGGAATGTCTTAAATGGGTCAAGTGAAGATAAGCAAACCAGTAATAAAGGAGTAACGACAAACGTGGTTCCGACAAAGAGGAATGCCATAAAATACAGTAGGCGGACAAGACGAAGGTGTTTTTGTTCTCAATTATATGACTATAGTGTTTCCCTAGGTTTATTTGCTTATGACATTCCTTATCCACAATGAGAACATAGCGAAAACATCCTCCGTTTCGTCGTTAATGTGGTGCAATTAATAAACCTAAGAGGCAAGGAAAGTTCACGTGACTCCTGAACCGTTGCACCGGGGAGCCTTTTGGTGCCTACTAGTAGGAAAATGAAGAGCAATACACTCGGGAGCCTTTTACGCTACGGTTTGCTAACCGAAACGAAGAAAAACCAACACGCAATGACAAGGTGGCACGAGAGTAAACCTTGTTTTTTTATCAAATCCTTTTTGTTAGTTTAAGGTAAGTTCACGCAACTTTGGTTAGTATAGTAGCCCCAACTATGACATAAAAACACAAAACACATGGGTACCATTTCAACAGAGAGCATGTATCATCAAAAGGATTTAGCTGCCGCGCCCGGTGGCAAATGGAAGAAGATCTTTGACAAGGAGTCACTGCAGCTCGCAAGCGACATTAGCTTGCGCATTAGAGTCTTCCAGTGGCGGAGCGTGAAGCTTAATTAGCAGAGTGGTGCCTAACTAGGAGGAAAAAATGTTATAAGTAGACGCCAAAAGAAGAGAATTTTAGCACTTGAAACATCGATACACCTAGTATTCCAAGACATGTGTCTGATCACTTCTACCTTCTGTAGGCTAATATCTAGAACATAAGTATATCTAGATGCATAGTAAAAAATATATACTTAGAAAAAAATAGAACAGCTTATATAATTTTAGAAAATAGGGAGTCGCCTTTTGTTTGTGTGATGATGATTAGACGACGATACATAGATACAATGAGTGTTTAGGAAAATTGTTTTGTAGAGGGCGAGGGTGGGTGTGGGCACTGCCCGTGTTGACTTGTGAACATAGCTCCCCAATGCAAGACACCAAGTAGTAGAGCATAAACCCCAGGTGACAACGAACACACGAGCCTAGCTAGTGAAAGATGCAAACGGCAGCACGCACGTATGTCTAGCGACTAGACCTTCTCGAAAAGGAGATGAGACACGACTGTGACGACTTGCCGTCTGGGAGCACGCTTGCTGGACTTCTCCACATCGATCGGACGGTTGGGCACGCACGTCACGTCGTCGTTTCCTTTGTTTGGATGCACGCATCCCTCGCTGGCCCGACTCCAGTCTTTCTTAACGCTGAAGGAAGGAAAGAGGACGCGCTTTCCATCGGGGCGGCCAGCTTGGCGGAGTCGTCGTCGTCGAGTCCAAACGACTCGCTCCTCAGACGTGTCTAGCCAGGCAGCCAGCCCGTATGTTTCCTCTTGGAGCATCCAAAGCTAGTAAGAGAAAATACCAAATCCTCCAGGGGCGACCAAGTAAAAATGCATGCAGCAGTCGCTATCCATACCCGCCGTCGGACGGCCGCGTCCCGCTCGATCCAGCTGTCCAACGTTAAGGAGCGCGCAGTGGTTGATAGTGGACCGGACCGGAGCGCGCGGAGGAAGTATTGTTAACTGATTTGGCTGTGAGAGAAAAATACTGTTCTGGTTAAAAATTTACGATCGTTTACGATAAGCACAAGCCAACAGAACAGGTTGATCGTGACCCCGCTTGCACGCGCCATGTCGATTATCTAGTCTGCTGGCGCGAGGATTATGCTTGCCGATTGCTGTAGTGCCCGCGCACGTAACCACGTGACCCGCCGACAGAATGGTGCCTTCCTGCAGCAGGAATGGTACCTACCATGCCGAACAACGCCTCCGTCAACGCCTTGCCGAATGCCAAACACGATCGGCTCCTCCTTTCAGCCCTTGTTTACTTGTTTAGTCGTAGGAATTTGGATTTTGGGGTTACTGTAGCACGTTCGTTTTTATTTGGCAAATAATGTTCAAACATAGACTAATTAGGCTCAAAACGTTCGTCTCGTAATTTTCCACCAAACTGTGCAATTAGTTTATCTTTTCGTCTACATTTAATGCTCTATGCACGGGCCGTAAATATTCGATGTGACAGGTACTGTAGCAACTTTTTGAAAATTGGGGTGAAACTAAACACGCCATCATTACAGGGTCTCTTTTTCTCTCTCAGAGACCCGATCTTATCAGCCGGAAACGTGGGGGCATGGCCATGTTCCTCGTTTCAAAAATATTCATGTTCCCTTCCCGACTTGAAGACAATTACATTTTCACATTATAAAGTATCACATGAGTTTCCGTTTCCATTATTCCCATTCCCTTTTAAGAACATGACTACTAAGGCACGGATGCTCCATCTGTCCCAAAAATAGAAAGAGTATGATTCTTGCTTTTGAGTTTGACCATATCGGTGAAAAGAATACTGATAATTATGTTATCAAATGAATATTACTATTAAATTAATAACAGAGATATCTTTATAGTAAACTTATTTGGAGACATAAACATTAGTACTATATTTTTTTAATAAAGTTTCAAAAAAAAATTAAAAATTTGACTCGGTTCAAATCTAGAGTTATACTCTTTTTTGGGTGGAGGGAGTATGTATACATTTGCCAATTCTGACTACTGTATGTACATGTGCTACACCGGGAGCTGCTAATAAAAGCTACCGCTAAAACGTTTGAAATCACGGAAAGAAAAGCGAAAAAAAAGATAAAATGATTCGTGCAATGCGATCGTTGTTAATGCACGGCAAAATGCAAGTGTTACACATGGACCTTCGAAGAACTGCCAGACCATGGGCCGGCCCAGTCTACGCACTTTCTCTCTTCTCATTGGACGGGCCGTCAGGTAGGAAGCCTAACCCAAAAGCGCCCATTCCGTGAATTACTTACCGCGATGCGGCCCAGCCCAGCTTTTCAAACGTGTCGCGGATACTAGTCGCATGCGTGCGCACTCCTCATCGTCGTCGTCCTGACTTCTGACGTCCTCGCTCGCCCCCGCCCGCAACTTCTCTGCAATTTGCGGCCACCCTCCCCTCGCCCGCGCGGCCCCGACTCCATAGTCCGAACCGACACCGCCGTCGCTCACGAGACCGTGCCTCCTCTCCGGCGCGAGCCTCGCGGTCCAAATGGGTCTCGTCGAGGAGGGGGAGGCGGCGAGGCGCCCGTCGCCCGGCCGAGGTAAACGCGCTGTCCTGCCGCACTCTGCTCGCTACACGCTACTGCGGTATCGCTAGAGGTTGTTTTGGTGGACAGGATAGGCTTCTTCTTCTTCTTCCCTTTTTCTCCCCGATGCGGGTCTCATCTGAATATATATAGATCATCAGTGTGTCTCATCTGAATTATTGTTCAAACGTGTTCCGCTGCAGATATTATGTTTTGTTTTCCCGGTGTCTGAATAGGGAGGATCATATGCTGCATCGATGCATTCCTCGTTACGAAGGACCGGAAGATCGGTCGTCTCTCGTCTCTCTGTAACCAATTAACGAATGCTGCTCTGAAATCCTGTTGGCTGCTCCAATTTTGCTGTAAATCTAGCGTCAGTAGCTGTTAGTTTGCACATCCTCGTATAATAAAGATAGTTAAGATACGGTTGCCATGCCAGGTATGTAGCCATGAAGCTTTCCCGGCTTCTCGAATTAGTACTGCATACACTGGCAGAGCTACATTAGGGCCATCCTGGGCGCCGGTCCTCCCTTGCTCGGGATAGATTTATAAAGAGAACCCGTGTCTTGAGCACGCACACTTAAAAGTTGCAACTACGCACACACATCTACATCACTGAATGACCTAGCTATATGCATTCATCTACGCCACGACTAAACTTGCATTAGCTTCTTTTTTATTCTAGCTGCTTTCATCCTGATGATGCTAGGAGTATATTTCAACGCATTATTACAAAACTTAATTAGCATTTGTGTTTAGCTCATCTGGCCGTTTCAAATGAGTGCTGCTATTGTTTCTCCTGTTTGCATGCAACTGTATTATAATATTTCACTTATTAATCTATTACTTTAGTACGTCTATTTAGCTCTCTTGTTCTACTTAAGGACACAATAACAATTAGCAGGAGTTCATCTTGCAACAACTTACACTTATCAGGTAACATATAGTAGATTG